AAAATAAACTGATGCCACTATGCTTCTTTCATATTAAGCCTGATCAACTCAATTGACCTGAGGGCAAATTTTTCTTTAGAATTTCTTTTTTTCCCCTAGCAAATAGTATTCATTTTTAATTAATTCAAGTTCTTAATATCTCTTTCTTGGATTAATAGAAATATTTCTTAACTGATTTCCCTGGTTCCACCCATACTTTCCTACAGTCTCCTCTCAAGAAAACAGCTACAATTTTTAAAGATGCAAGCCTGTAAAGATACAAGATATACACTTTTTAAACATACAAGCCTGTCTCTCAGCCTTTAACTTATTTATTACCTCTGCCTAAAATGTTATTTCCCTTTATGTTCACACGCCTAATTTCCTTATACCTTTGATGTCTTTGCTCAAATCTACCTTTTGCAATGAGGCCCACTCTGACCTTTTAATACTACACCCTGCTCCCTGATGCTGGCATTTTCAATATCCTTTGCTTTATGTCACTGCTTTTCTACAGCATGTACTTCTTTCCATGTATTACATGTATTCGTGATTTATTGACTTGCCCTTCTTGCTTAAACGTAAGCAGTAGGTCACTTTTGTTCACTGAGGACTCCCAAGCACTATACCAGTTTCCCCCACATAGTATGCACTCCACAAATATTAGTTGGACAAATTAAACAATGGTAAGATTTTCAACTCACCTGGAAAAATACATCCTTAAAATACAACACTAGGAAAAAAAATCAATCAAAACTCACTATCATAACTTAAAATCCAAAAACAAATATGTAAGCATGTAAAAAAAAAGCATTAAACAAATTTTGGTTTTATGAGACGTGATGAAGCACGTTAGACATGTATGTGCTGTCTCATGAGAACAACAGCATGAGTCTCAAGCATACTCTTCAACCTTATCTGGGATTGAGTTGAGCACAGAGAAGCCCTAGTATAGTAGTGCAATATCACAGTTTTACATATGTAGGCATTCATGAGCCTGCATGTAAAACAAATAAATATAAACACAACAGAGCTGCACATTTCCTAATCAATGGGACATTTTCATCTGTTCATGTTTAGATACGGAGATTGCAGGCAAGCTTTTCTTCTGTGGTCTTCACAAAACCAAATTCGCTCTGGCACACTGATAAATAGATTATGTAACTCCAATGTGTCAAAATATGGCAAATGATGTATTTGAGAGTGTTTATTCTAAAATTACAGACTGTCAAAAAATCTTAAAAAAGAAATGTGACTCAAATAATTACAAAACAGTTTTTTTAATTGCTTGAAATAATAACAGACATAATGATCTTTGCTATCACTACAATAAGATGGGATTTTTAAGAACACCTTCCATGCTGGTATCCTCAAAAGCTGATTAGAAATCTAAGCAGTCATGCTTAACACTGTAACTGGTGCATCTGTACTTGTGGCATGTTGGCCAGAAGTATAGACACCAGCAATGTCCTTTCCTCGCCTTTCAGATCTTCCTTTTTGCTTTAGCCAACATCCAGTGGCCAATAACTGCATCTAGCTGCCTGGAGTCTTTTTTTCTAGACTCTAGGAAGGACCTTTGCCTACAGGGGTAGATAACACCCAGGGGTTCAGGAAGCTAAGTATCCCAGCTCCCTCATTCTTGGAGTAATTCCTACTCATATGGTGTATGGTTCCCTCGCAGGATTAAGCTTTCTATTGGCTTAAAATAACATACCATGTATCTTCTGCCCATACCTTTCAGGCATCACTTGCACATTCCCCTTCAAATGTTTCCTGAACCTCTTGCTCTCTCTCAAAAAAAAAAAAAAAAGAAACTTTCACTCAAATCTTCCAGTTAACAGGCTAAAGTACAGCTGGCATAAAATACCACCAATAGTTGACTATGACAATGAATATTTTATGATTATTTTTCTGTGCAAATTCGACACATTATAATGACATTGTACATATTTTATTAATATCAGTGTGCTAGATACCTTCATTTTGCTCCTCTAGATAGAGTTCTACTCTTTTACGTATTGTTCTATCCTGCTCCCGGGATGTATTTGCATGGAGTGCATTGATAGGCTCCCTTGACCTCTGGCTTCTAAGTTGTCAGTCATGGGAGGGACCTGAAAAATATGAAGAGTGAAAAGAGAATGGAGTCAGGGTAATTATTCCACTGGTATCTTTCCTCTCTTCCACGTCACCGTAGATTGGCCACATTTCTCTTGCACATGCCACCTCTTGTCAGGCCTCTCTATCCGTACAGCTTATACAATAATTTCCAGTTCTGGTGACCACTCCCTCCCATTCTTTAGACCTAGGAGGTGTAATGGCCCTTATTATTACTAAGCCAGGATACAACACTATCTACTGTTTCTAGGGATGGAGAAACCAAAATTATAATAAATAATCGCTTAATTAAATGCTTGATGGGTTACTCAGTTTGAATATGCCTTCACTTTATGACAGGACTCTGACTTTTACAGTAAATAATAAATGCACATGATAAAAAAATCAACAAATTCAAAGTAAACAGACGGTACAAAATTCATGTGTTCTTTCCAATGTTCTTTACATGTTCCCTGGAGGTAAACATCTTCAACTTTTTCTCTCCAGATAATATATTTTTTCCATAGGTGTTGTTGGTTAGCCAATACCTAATAATAACTATGGACACCTTAGTTTGAAATATAAAAATTTAGCCAATCTACATTTCTAACACCTCTCTTCCCCATGCTCCGACAGTCTTGACAAGTGATATTAGAATGTTCAGATCATTTTTTATCTTTAGGATAGGTAATATAATGCAACTTCTTTTTCTTAATTCATCAATTGTACAAAATGTGTCTTCATTTCCTGTCATACAAATTAAAAAAAAAAAAACCATTGGCTCCACATTCCTTACGTCTATTTATTTTCTACTTCATATCCCAATTTTTTGTTAGCTCTACCATGAATTTAATACTACTAAGTTAAAAAATAATTTTTTTTTGTCAGAATCAGACCCCCAATTAATCAAACAACTTTTGGGTTTTCCTGAAGTTTCAATGCCTTGTTTATATTTTTCCACTTAAAAATAAGATACTGTATCTGCACCATAGCGCTAAGTTTATTCAGCTTTAAAATACATAATTGTTAGAGTGAACACAATTTCACTTTGTGTTCTTTGTGAATTGCTGTCTAAGCCTACTGTACACCTTATATTCTAAGCTTTATTTTCATTTCTCTCCTCTCATACTTATGTATTATTGTTTTTTGTTTTTTGGATTGTATTTAGATTATATTTTAATATTACTAGGACATATCCTCAATTATTTTTTGTTGGTAAATGAGTGCATTAAAGGTAAATTTTCTGATATCTTGCATGCAGAAAATTCTTAATTTTGTCCTTGTGGTTGTTACTCAACTTAAATATGGAATACTCGTTAAAATAATTTACTTTAAAAACTTTGAAGACAATATATTCATTCTACTGCTTTGACTGAAGTTTTGCTAGAGTGAATATATTGCATTTTCTTTTTGTTCTGGCAGACTTTTTATTTTATTAATGTTTTAGCGTTCTTTTGATTTCTCTTTGATAATAACATACTTTTAATTAATTAATTATTTATTTATTTATTTAAATTGTAAAACTTTAAGCTCTGGGGTGCATGTGCAGAATGTGCAGGTTTGTTACATAGGTATACATGTGCCGTGGTGGTTTGCTGCATCCATCACCCCTTCATCTACATTAGGTATTTCTGCTAATGCTATCCTTCCCCTAGCCCCCCAGTGTATGATGTTTCCCTCCCTGTGTCCATGTGTTCTCATTGTTCAACATCTGCTTATGAGTGAGAACATGCGGTGTTTGGTTTTCTGTTCTTGTGTCAGTTTGCTGAGAAGGATGGGTTCCAGCTTCATCCATGTCCCTGCAAAGGACATGAACTCATATTTTTATAGCTGCATAGAATTATATGTGCCACATTTTCTTTATCCAGTCTATCACTGATGGGCATTTGGGTTGGTTCCAAGTCTTTGCTTTGTAAACAGTGCTACAATAAACATACATGTGCATGTGTCTTTATAATAGGATGATATATAATCCTTTGGGTATATATTCAGTAATGGGATTGCTGGGTCAAATAGTATTTCTATTTCTAGATCCTTGTGGAATCTCCACACTGTCTTCCACAATGGTTGAACTAATTTACACACCCACCAACAGTATAAAAGCGTTTCTATTTCTCCACATCCTCTCCAGCATCTGCTGTCTCATGATTTTTTAATGATTGCCATTCTAACTGCTGTGAGATGGTATCTCAATGCTGTTTTGGTTTGCATTTCTCTAATGACCAGTGATGATGATTTGTTTTTTTTTTTTTTTTCATATGTTTGTTGGCTGCATAAATGTCTTCTTTAGAAACGTGTCTGTTCATATCCTTCACCCACTTTTTGACTGGGTTGTTTTTTTTCTTCTAAATTTGTTTAAATTCTTTGTAGATTCTGGATATTATCCCTGTTCCAGATGGGTAGATTGCAGAAATTTTTTCTCATTCCGTTGGGTGCCCGTTCACTCTAATGATAGTTTCTTTTGCTGTGCCGAAGCTCTTAAGTTTAATTAGATCCCATTTGTCTATTTTGGCTTTTGTTGCCGTTGTTTTTGATGTTTTAGTCATGAACTCCTTGCCCATGCCTATATCCTGAATGGCATTGCCTAGGTTTTCTTCTAGAGTTTTTATGGTGTTAGGCCTTATGTTTAAATCTTTAATCCATCTGGAGTTAATTTTTGTATAAGGTGTAAGGAAGGGATCCAGTTTCTGCATATGGCTAGCCAGTTTTCCCAACACTGTTTGTGAAATAGGAAATCCTTTCCCCCTTGCTTATTTTTGTCAGGTTTGTGAAAGATCAGATGGTTATAGATGTGTGGTGTTATTTATGAGGCTTCTGTTCTGTTCCATTTGTCTATATCTCTGTATAATTTCTAAGATTTTTTTCTCATTCTCCTCTTGCTCCTTTTCATGTATCATTTTATGTTTCTTTAAAAATGCAATATGTGTGCTCACTTCAGCTGTATGTATACTAAAATTGGAATGATACAGAGAAGATCAGCATGACCCCTGCACAAGATAGGATGTAAATTCTTGAAGCATTCCATTATAAAATGTAATATCTTCTTGTGTAGCTGTGAAGGGACCATGTAGATTATTTTTTAAAGTATCTTTTCACGTGTGATTTATTAATTTTTTCAAGGTCTATATTCTACTTCCTTGTCTTGGGCCTTTTCTGTTTTACTGTTTCTGTTCCTTGCATACCTATTGTTCATTAGATATGAGTTCATACTTGTGAAGGAAGGATTAAATTGATTAAATTCCAGCTGGAATCCTCTTTTCCTATTAAAGTGCTTTCCCAATAGTTTTATCATGAAAATGAGATGATCAACCTAAATTTCTATGTCTACTTGAGCATGTTATATGGAGGGTCCCATGTACACTGGTTGGGCATGCCACTTGGAAGATCCTTTGTAAACTTGTTGGGAGTGTCATATAGTAGGATTCTCTATATACTGCCCAGAAGATTCTATGTTCTCTGGTTGGCAATGTCATAGGGAAGTTTCTATGTATGTGGGTCAGGCCTATCATATAGAAGTTTCCAAGTACACTAGTTGGGCATAACATATGTAGATTCTATTTATTAACATGGGGAAGAAGTAGGTGGGCTGTGTTCTGTAAAGCCAAAAATAAGGAGGGGTTTATTCTGTTGGACTGAGGCCAAAACCAGAAGTCCTAATCTTTCACAGACATATTATTAAATTTCTTCAAAACAATAGTGAAGCTTTCAGCTTCAGGTCTCATATGTAAGAAGTCTGGAAGTCACCATTTAATTCCAACAACAGGTAAAAGGCTAATCAAACTAAAAAATGAATACATTGTCTTAGATACATCAGAGATGTAAAGTCATAGGACAAATCCCTGTCCCCCAAATTAGGGAGACTAATGGGAAAATAGAGAGAATCAAAATTTACTTAAGCAGAAACCCTAGTGGGGACTTAAAAATGATGCCCTAAAATATGCCTCTTTGGATTTCAAACTGACCGCACTTGAGGAATAGTGAAGAAAGGAAGGGCTTTAACTTCAAATTCTCTGAAGTTACTCTGCCCACCTAAAGACTGAATCTTTTAGAAAATATCCAATTTTTGTGATGCCCTTTCTTAGATATTTCATTAATTAGAAGAAATCAATATATATTCTAGGAAGGAGGACTGATGTGGACGCCACACTCAGAACCCAGATGAACTTTGTCTCAGGCTATTGTTTATTTTTTAGGTCCACCCATCTACCCCTAAAAACAATTTATTCTTCTCCTAAAATTGCCTCTATCCCCCTCTTTCCTCTATCTTATGAAGATGATATTTAAGCTTCAACCATCAGGTCCTTTGCTGAGCCTCATATTTTGTGGCACTCCTGTGCACTTGCGCATAATAAATTTCCATGTCTTTTCTCCTATTAATCTGTTTGCTGTCCATTTATTTCAGCAGACTAAATTATCAAACTTTCAGGAGAAACTTTTGAGCTTCCCTATACTCATGAGCTGAAAACTCTGCAGAAACCACTGCCAGGGTAAGAAAACCTGAACTGTAGTTGACAAATAGTTGGGGGCTCAGTGTAGACAAGTCTGAGACATAAAACTCCAGGGACGCTCAGTCATTCTGGAGTCCCAGTCATTTGGGAGCTCCAGTGGTTTTTTTGAGTTTTACCTCCTGAATTCTACCAGGTTCTTACAGAATAGAGAACCCAGAAATAAAGCCAAATCTGTACAGTTACTGATCTTCAACAAAACATACAAAAACATAAATTAGGGGATGGGTATTCTATTTAATAAGTGGTGCTGAGAGAACTGGCAAGCCTCATGTAGAAGAATGAAATTGGATCCCTATCTCTCACCTTATACAAAAATCAACTCAAGATGGATCAAAGACTTTAATATACGACCTGAATCCATAAAAATTCTAGAAGACAAAGTTGGGAAAACTCTTCTAGACATTGGCCTATGCAAATACTTTATGACTTAGACCCCAAAAGCAAATGCAATGAAAACAAAAGCTAAATAAATGGGACTTAATTAAAATATTAAGCTTCTGCACAGCAAAAGGGCTACTCAGCAGAGTAAGACTGGGAGAAAATATTTGCAAACTACACATCCAAAAAAGGACTAATATCAAAAAATCTGTAAGGAACTCAAACAAATCAACAAGATAAAAACAAATAATCCCATGAAAAAGTGGGCAAAGAACATGAACAGTCATGTCTCAAAATAAGTTATGCAAATGATCAACAAACGTGAAAAAATGATCAACCTCATTAATCATCAGGAAAATGCAAGTTAAAACTACAGTGAGATAGCACCTTACTCCTTCAAGATTGGCCATTACTAAGAAGTAAAAAATTAATAGATGTTGGTGTGGATGAAGGGGAAACACTCATACATGTCTCATGGGAATGTAAATTTATTACAACCTCTATGGAAAACAATATGAAGATTCTTTGAAGATCTAAATGTAAATCCACCATTTGATCCAGTAATCCCACTACTGGGTATCTACCCCCCGAAAAGGAAATCACTATTTTAAAAAGACATTTGCACATGTATGTTCATAGCAGCACAATTCACAATTGCAAGATGTGGAACCAACCTTAGTGCCCATTTGTCTAATGAATGATAAAGAAAATGTGGTGTATATACACACATACACACACACACAGATACACATATATAGACACACACATATATAGACACACATATATATAGACACACACACACACACCATGGAATACTACTCAGCATAACAAGGAACCAAATAATGTGTTTTGCCGTATGTGGATGGAACTGGAGGCTATTATTCTATGTAAAGTAACACAGGAGTGAAAAAACAAAACCTATGTTTTCTCACTTATAAATGAGAGCTAAGATATAAGTATGCCAAGGCATACAGAGTGATATAATGAACTTGAGAGACTTGGAAGGGGGACTACAGATAAACAAAAATACATGTTATATACAATGAAAACTATGGCTGATGGTTCCACTAAAATCTCAGAATTTCCCACTATATAATTCATCCAAGAAACTCAATACAAGAAAATATAAAGCGTTCAACACAAGAAACCACTTGTACCCCAAAAGCTATTGAAATAAAAATTAAATATATGTATGTGTATATATATACACAAAAAAACAATAAAAAGAGAGTCAGAAGAAACAAAAGAATACCCAACTATATGTTGTCTAAAACAAATCCATGTTAAATAAACAACACACATAGATTAAATGTAAATGGATGGAGAAAATTAAATCATGCTAAAAACATGAATAGTGGATAAATACATAAATCCACTATTATAGTTGGATAGTTTAATATGCTTCTATGGGAAAAGAACAGACCCAACAGACACAAAATTAATAAAGACAGAGTGGAATTCAACAACACCATCCATCAACTGGACATGATGGACATCTACAGACAAATTTATGCAACAATAGAAGAATGCACATTATTCATAGGTTCACAGGGGATATTCACCAAGATTGACCACATTCTGGGTCATGAAAAACACCTTAAAAATTTAAAAGAATAGAACTCATACAATGTCTACTCTCAGACCATAATGGAATTAAACTAGAAATCAATAACAGAAAGATAGTTGGAAAAATCCCAAATTCCTTGGAGATTAAACAACACTTCTAAATAACACATGGGTTCTCATTCTTATTATTGTTTCCCAGTTCTGATAATGAGACTTAAAGTTGAGATTCAGAGACAGCTCAGAACAAAGAGCTCTAACATTGCTTCTTTCTTATTTACATTAAATTGATTAAAATGCTGCACCTGATTACAACTTTTTAGTTATCTTTACGTATATAACTCAAGTCTTAGCATATAATGATATTTTGTTATTGCAATCCCTACAACATCACAATATTACATTGATGTGTTTCTTTTCTGAAATATTAATAAAGATGTCAAATTTTATTTTTTCTATTGAATATGTTTATATATAATTAGACCACAGAAGAAAAAACACTGGCATATGTTCTCAGTATTTTTTAACAAATATATATTTAAATATTTTTATAATTTCAATACACTCAAAATGTTGGCATTGCAAATAGATGTCAGTTTTCAAGTAACATACGCTGATAATTACATTATTTTAGAGAATGGTGATGATTTTTTCTAATTGGCTAATGTTTTAATTCAACAAACCTGTAGAAAACGTCCTTCTTCAAAGAACTTTATTGCTAACTAGAAAATATTTCTCCCTAAGGAATAAGAAACAGCACAGAAAAAATGTCATAATCTTTCTTGGTCGCTGATATTCAGATAAAAAATGTCCTACATGTTTATATCATTTAGTTTAAATCCAAGATTTTGACACTACAATGAAAATGACAATACTGAGGAAGTCAAAATCATCTACGTTTCAATAAAATCAGAGAGAAGGGAGGAAAGAAAAAAATAAGCAAACACACTGAGAACCTTAGCATAGGTTTTTAAACAGCCTCATAGCATCGGCCCCTTCCATTCTAAACAGCAGCAGCAGTGGCAGCAATGCAGACATTCAGCTATGAAACGAGCATGATTTCCAAGTGGCCTTCATCAATAGGATAGCATTAAATGACTATTTAAATTTGCCAGGAAGTGAAACATTTCTCAAATAAGAAGCCTATACAATTGAAATTCTGTTCAGCACAACTAAGGGAAGATTTGAAGCTGATACCTACCTACTACTACTATCATCAAGCATTCCAACATTTTTAAAATGAGCAAGCTAGTGATAATGAAACTAATTTTACCACATCACCCTGCGAGAGGAAGATTTTCTATAAACTTTTGCTATTAACAGCTGGGATATTCTGAAACTATTTATCATTAAGAGATAAGCACAATGAGAGAGGTAGCTTTTAATATACAGCAGAGAATGTGCAAATAAAACCACTGATATAACAGAATCCCAGTATAATAGTGTTTGCAACAGTCAACTTTATAGTTAAGGTTACAACTCAATTCCATATCCCTGCTTTACGTGCTCATAAAAACTTGGTGGAAACTTCTTCAACATTAAAACTTTTCACACTTGGTCTCCAAGTAAATATGAATGATAA